GACTCTGCCTCGAGCTTCCTTGGTGCAGCACTACCCCAACTGGGGCCTTCCAGATGCAGCGCCCAACAAGGTGATGAAGATGGTGTCTACCATAGCCAGGTAAGTGCCTCGCCACTCTCCTCCTTCGCCCCCTTCTTCCTCCTCCTTAAGCTGGACTGCTCGCCATAGCTAGGCAGAGCTCCAGCTGCCCTTCACCTCCAAGCAGCGTTGTACCAGTCCAGCGCTGTGCTCCAGCAGCATGTCGCCAATCCTTGCACACCGCAAATGAGGAGGAGCTACTTGCTCCTCCGAAAGATATAGCGGCCTACTGGCCTCCCGGGCGGTGACTTCCTAGGCCGAGCGGCCTCCCAGCAACCGGTACCTCCTCCCTTTCGGAGGGAAACATCATTGCAGGCTCCGCTAAGCCTCCGGACAGGCCCTAGACCCGGGGTACTTGGACTGGTACCGGCCTACCTCTAACCTAGCGCTACTGGGCCTCTAAAAATGCCAACTTTTTGTCTTCTTCTGCTCGGCCTCCGGTACCCAACACTTCTACCACTACTTCAGTGGTACAGGCCTACCTGCTACTTGAGTGTTTTTCCCCTCTGCTCTAAGTGCCGCGGGCCTACCCCCGCTACTCGAGTGTTTTCCCCCCTGCAACCCTTCACAATCACGGCCACAGGTAAGTACCGGCCCCTCGGGCATGCTTCGGAACTGTCTACGTACATCGATCCTCACCCGATTTATTCCTACTCGTTTCTCTCAAATTCCTAACACGTTCTTCACGGATGAGGAAGGCGGGGAAGTGCGATCCTGTGGCCAGATTGAAGGAAGAGGGCAGCAGATGCTGGGCTGTCTTCACCAGCTGCTCACTAAAATGCACGACGTTGGGCCAGAAGTTGAGCGGCATGTTCACAGCCGATTCAATTTGCATGCTGAAGAGGACAAACTTACAACAGCTGAAACTGTCGTTCAGATGCTGGAGATCAGCGGGCGAGTGCAGCAGATAATTGATCGGGGACGAATGGCCCTCGATCAATTCATTGCTGAGCTGCTGGCGAAGATCTCCGATGAAGCGGCCAAAGAAGAAGATAAAGGGGAGGGAAGTGAGAAAAAAAAAGAATCTCAACTGACCAAGGAAATAATGGATAACAAAAAGATTACCAGAGGCAGAAAAAAGAAAAGGAACAATAGGAGAAAAAGGTAGAAGAAAGTAAACAAAAATTTCGTATGGAGGGAACAAAAACTGACTTGGCGTCCGTTCTACAGAATATGATGGCCTACTTGGCACACCTCGAGTTGAAGATTGATAATGTCACCGCTGAATTATAGACGGTGACCAGACTGGTCAAAGGTAAGAACAAGGTTGTGCATGAGGAGGAGGTCAGAGAGGAGAAACAAGAAAAGAAGGTAGAGCCTCATGAAAAATTGATGAAGGATGCCGTGAAAACTCAAAAAAAACCCGAATCCTCAAAGAAGGAGATCCCAAAGAAGGAAGAAGGGGAACGCCCGAAAAAAAAAAAAAAAGGTTAAGATGAAATTGCCTTTCATATACAACAGTAAGCGAGGGGAACACTTGTTATTGTGGATTGCGAAAATCCAAACGTAATGTGGTACTGCCCCAGTCCAACCAGAAAATCAAGTTGCCTTCTCCACCTCATGTCTAGGGAAAGTTGCGAAGGAGTGGGTGTTGTCCGAGGCCAATGCTGCCGGGTTCGAGGACATTGGTGAGAGGGCAAAAACTATGACCCTGGTAGAATTTCTCCATAAAATTAAGGAGAGATTCCTCGACAAGATGACGATTGATAAGGTCTTTGATGGACCCGCCACCATTAGCCAGAAGCATTGGACCATTGTCGATGCTTTGTCACGTGAGGTTGATCGTTTGTTGTTGGTACATGGATTGAACCTCCAAGACAACCAGGTTCTTGACATCTACCTGTGTGCTCTGCTCGAGCCCATACGTAGACAACTCATGGCGAAAAGCAAATCCAGTAAGTACAACTATCGCCAGTTTCACGACCTCGCGCTCCAAAGGGAGCAAATGACTATACAGGTAAAGGGCACCTATGCGTCTGTTGTGAGAGGTGGACCGACAAGTGGGTTTGGGAATGGGAAGAGAGTCCTATGGCAACAAAAGCGCTAGGTCCACACTCTCGTCGTATTCGACGACGGGACTATTGAGAGATTCCTATGGCAACAAAAGCACTAGGACCACACTCTCTTCGTATTCGACGACGGGACTATTGAGAGATGGCCCCTCGAAGAGGCAGGGGGCGAAGCAAGTAGTGGCGACAAATCTAGAAAGGGTGACGTCGCCGGCATGGTGGCCAACAAGGGTGGCACCAATCAGGGAGGATATAAGAAAAAGAGGTCACGCTCCTTTCCAAAACATTCTGGCATTAAGTCTGGCCGACCTTGGGAAAAAAATGGGCCTCACCCAGAAGGGATGTCAGGAGCGTATGGATAGCCGCCAGTGCCTGAAGTGTGGCACTGCGGAACACATCATTGCATGGTGTCCCCTCATCCGGAACCCAAAAGGCAGCAGCTAGTAGGAGTAGCATCTGCTCCTACTGAGTTGGAGGACTTAGTTGAAGGTAAGGCGTCTACAACCCCATTCAAACCCTCGACTCGCAAGGTAGAGGATGACTCTTTTTCGGCCCGTCACCCAGAACACTCTGAAAAGGTCTTGTGTTCTGTCACACTGGTTATACCTTTGATAAACTTGGTTGCGAACTCATAGCATTAAGAAGTTTATGGGCTAACAAAGCGAAGTCCAAGAGTGAATTAATAATTACTGACGTAGAGATTGCACACACCAGCATAGGTGCATTGCTAGATCCGGGATCAACGAGATCCTACATCTAAGAGAAAGCAATTTGTAAGTTGCATCTGGGAATGAGAGTGCAAGATGTGTCTAGACCTTTCATGTCTATGCTTGCTGACAAGAGCACGATCACTGTGTCTCAGTTTGTTTATCGTGTCAAATGCTATTTCAGAACGAGGGAAGGAAAAATAATATTAAATGAAGTCACCTTCCTTGTAGAAAATAATCTACCCTTTGAGGTGATTCTGGGAATAGATCGGCACGAGGAGGCCGACCCAAATGTCAAGTTTAAGGATAAGATTATTAAACTAGGGGATGAAAAATCCAACCTACAGTCGATTAAACTGTTTCACAAGTTTGGTTCTCACTCATCATTGTCTTTTTGTTGTATGAATCTACCTGCTTTCGGAAGTATGGTCACGAAAAACAAGTTGGCGCAGGACGAAATGATGGTACTCGTCAAACGAGTCGGTGAGTGTTCTTCGTCCTATCCTCCTTCCATCGACAAAGTACTCAATGAATATAAGGACTTGCAGACTGAACCAGCGGGAGTAACTGACCGCAACACACGATTGAAATCATTCCCGAAAGTAAGATTTCCAAAGGACCCATCTATCGAATGTCTCCTAGGGAACTAGAACAGTTAAAGAAACAACTGCAAGAACTTACAGAGAAAGGATGGATTCAACCAAGTTCCTCTCCCTATGGTGCTCCTGTCTTATTCGTGCCCAAAAAGGAAGGAGAACTTAGACTTGTATCAACTATCAAGGATTTAATTCTATCACTATAAAGAATGCGGAACCCCTTCCTCGCATTGATGATTTGCGTGACCAGTTGTAGGGGTGTAAGTACTTCAGCAAGATTGATCTGAAGTGAGGATACCACTAGAGTGAGGTGGCACCTGAAGATCAACACAAGATTGTCTTCCGAACCAGGTATGAACACTATGAGTTTGTGATTATGTTTTTCAGACTGACTAATGCACCCACGACTTTTCAAAGGTCAATGAATGAATGATTCCAACAATGGCTAGATGAATTCGTAGTAGTGTACCTCGACGAGATCCTCGTCTACAGTAAGACGTTGGAAGACCATGAGAAACACCTGCGAATAGTTCTAGGAAAGTTAAGAGAAGGAAACGACAAGTTAAATCGTAAGAAATCAAAATTTGCTAAGTCTGAGGTATTGTATCTTGGACACATAGTGAATGAAGAAAGACTAAGGCCAGAAGAAAGAAAAATTACAGCAATCAGAGATTGACCCAGATCCAAGACTGCCACTGAACTGCAATCCTTCTTAGGACTCGCTTGCTATTATAGGAAGTTTGTGAGGAACTTCTCCATTGTAGCTGCACCTATGAGAAGATTGTTAAAGAAAGAGAAACCATGGTTATGGGATAAAGATTTTGAGTCTGCATTCAAGAAGGTGAAGCAAATGCTAACTCACTACCTTGTTCGGAAGATTGTCGACCCGTCAGTCCCTTTCATTGTGACAACTGATGCTAGCCAGTTTGGGATTGGGGCTGTGCTACAGCAGGATGATGAGAAAGGGTATGACTTATTGAGTTTATGTCCAAACGCCTTCTGTCTGATAAGGTAGTTAACTCAACCTACGAAAGGGAATTGTATGCCTTGGTTGAAGCGTTGGACACGTGGAAACACTACTTTATCGAAAGACATTTCATAGTCTACTCAGACCACTCGACCCTGGAATGGATAAAGACGCAATCTCGACTTTTCGGCAAGCTAGTGAGAAGGTCTGCATTCATCAACACGTTCGACTTCGAATTGAAAATCATTAAAGGTAAGTCCAACATGGTTGCTGATGCTTTGTCCCGGCGTTCTGATTTCTTTGGTACCATTGTTTTCTACCTTGACATTGGGACAAAGTTGAAGGATGAAGTCCGACAAGGTTATGCTGGGGATCCTATATGGAGTCCTATCATTCAAACCTTACAGAAAAATTATGAACTATTGCCTGAGTATCAAAAGACTGATGGCTTGCTTTTCTTTATTGACAAAACCAAAGATAAAAGCTTGATTATTGGGGAATGCCACGACACGTAAAGACACTTCGGATTTAAGAAAACGTGTGCCAATGTTAGAGAACTATTCGAATGGAACGGAATGAAAGAGGAGATGCTATTCTACGCGCGAACTTGTCTTGTTTGCCAAAGGAACAAGCCCTCTCACGAGAATCCTGTGGGACTGTTGCGACCACCACCTTTTCCAAGTGAACCAGGTGAGTCTATCTCGATTGACTTTATGAGTCTCACCAAAAGTCGGAATGGGAACAGTCAGGTAATGGCCATTGTCGACAGATTCTCCAAGTACGCAATGCTCGTACCTTTACCAGAACGAAACTCGTCATCCAAAAGTTTCAGATGCGATGGGTTTCTAAATACGGACTTCCAAAAACCATCGTCTCTGATCGGGATGTATGGTTCAGTGGCCAACAATGGCAGAAGTTGATGGAAGCATACGACAATCGATTGACCCTGTCGTAAGGTAGACACCCTGAAACGAATGGCCAAATTGAGCAAATGAAGTGACTGTGCCAACAACTTTTGCGAATGTATGTACGACCAGATCAGATTGATTGGGATGAGAACTTGTCAAAGATAGCAAGTGAGTATAACAACAGTGTTCACACAGTAACAGGCCGAACACCTAACGCACTGCATAAAGGCTGGAAGTCAAGGCGTCCCATTGATGCTTTGACCAGGGACCAAATCCAACGGTTAGCCCTGGTGTGACAAGGCTGAGGCAGAGTAGCGAGGCCGGGAGAGAGAGAGGGAGAGAGTGAGAGCACGCACACACTCACTCAACTCGACACGGACTCGACTCGACGCGACGGACGCAGACACAGAGAGGCAAAGTCACAAAGTTGCAAAGTCGCAATCTTGGATTCCAAACACAATGTCGCAGGAAGTCACACTGAAGCACAAGCACTTAGGCTGAAAACTGAGTCCTCGAACTCAGCTTGAGTCCGGTCTTAAGTACCGGACTCAAGTTGAGTCCGAGGGCAGAAGTGCAATTTCCCTAGGGGCTGAACTGAAAATCGAAGGTCTGAGCCTGGGCGCCAGAATGCCAGATGGCGCCAAGTATCGAAATTCGCAAGTGCCAGAGGCGGGATTTGAGAATGGACGCCACTGCAGAGGGCGCCAAGAGTCAGGAAAGAGACTAAAAAAAAATGGAATAGCAGCCTGGCGGGTGGTAACCCGCGGAAGGGATCGAGCCCTGGCTGAGTCCGTAACACCTGGGAACTGGAGAATTTGCAATTCTGTACGAACAATATATACAAAAAGTAAAGGAAAATATCCAGAAAGCCCAACTGCAGATGATCGAACAGGCTAATAAGAAAGCGTGTCACAGAAACTGCTGCCTGTCTATTATGGAACCTGGAAAGTTCTCAAGGTGATTGGGGACACAAATGATTCCTCCCTCTATGAATGGAGGCTATGAAGTTGAACGGATCTTGGAGCATGGATGCTTCTCTACAGGTGGCAGAGGAAGACCGCAGAAGCAGTATAAGGTGAAGTTCAAAACTCAGCCTATCTCAGAAGCCAGATGGTTCTCTAAGAAAGAACGTCTACCTACTGCAGCTGATATTGTTGCTGCATATGAGCGTGAGTTGAGAGAAAGAGCCTAAAAATAGTTGTTTCTACCACGGAACTCAAAATTGGGCCTGATGGAATGCAATAACTCAATGTACAATATGCAATAGTCTAGAGCCACACGTCGACACTTGGGGTTTAAGGGTCGTAAAAAGGGCCTAGGGCCACGCCCAAGTCACTGAAATCGCCTGATATGAAGCCTGCTGCTGTGGGCACCCCACGCACGGCCTAAACGAGGGCTTCAGAGGCCGTACGTGCGACAGTTGACCGAGGGAAGTCAAAGGTCAACAGTAGCTCGGAAATTCAGTCTCATGAGTCAAAGTCCATATGGACCCAGCCCAGGCCACCGATCAGACACACACATTGGTTGTTTGCAGGTATCCGCCAAGAATCCTGTCCAAGTGGGAATCTGCAACTGTAAGAGATCCAGGTCATTGCCCGTGGGTCAATCTGGGGGCGGTCGTATCCGAGAGACCAGAGATTGGTCAACCTCGAAGTCAACTATAAGTTGACCCAGCCCTGCTGACCGACATTCACTCAGTCTTGCACTTGCTGCTCGACGCTGGCTGGACGCTTGTTCTACGCTGGCATTGTGCTGGCTCGACGCTGGCTCTGCTCTAGCTTGATATTGGACAATGACGCGGGACTGCGTGGCGTTTACTTGACGCTGGCGCCATCTCTGTCTGGACTGGACCAGAGACTATTTTGACGTGGCATTGGCCACACTGTCTACTACTGAAACTATGCTGACGTGGCATTGACCGCACTGTCTACAGCATTGATTGGGAAACAGGCGAGAAGGAGGAGGATCAGGGCTGTGAGAGTGGTTGAACGGAAGGAAGCTTACCTGTTTGATGACGTGTTGATATTGCGTGCTGCTGTTCGTCTTCAGTCTGCGCTGGCAAGTGCTATGATGAGGCCTGCTCTTTGTCAGATTGCGTCAGAGGATACTGTTGTTGATGTGGCGAGGGGAGATGCCCGAGGAAGAAGAGGGGAGTTGAGAGAGCTCTATCTGGTGACTTTCTCTTCCACAAGTCTCATCTCCCTCCCATCTTCTTCTTCTCTGGTGACTAGATGATGTATACGATTATTGGAGACATTGAGACTGCGCTGAGACATTCTGTGTTTTGACATTGACGAGATCTTACCACGACTGGGTTCATTGCAATTGTATAGTCAATGTGGTACTGCTTCGTTGTCTTCTGTTTTGTGGAGCCAAACAACTGAGATATGGTCTGTTTTGTTGCATTGTGAAACTCCATCATGCAGTCAGCCGATTATGCAGCTCTGCTATGTAAGGATCATGGTGAGAATCTCCGGACACTCCAGTACCTTGGCTTCTACCAGGTAAGAAACTCAATGATCCCCTTTCTTTCCACACTTCATTCGTTCTGTTAGCTGTTCATTCTGGTGGAACATCACTGTAGTCTGTAGCTTTCTCACACAGGCAGTCAGTCACGAGTGTTGGATACTGTGAGCCATTGCGAGGGTGGAGCAAAGTCGCCAGCTCTGGCATGAACTGAAGACGTGAAAGCAGACGAACGGAAAACAAAGATTTATGAGTGAATTTACTGAATCTTTCGCTTAATCCAGATTCTCAATCAACTCCTTGGGGCACAAAAACAGGAGTACCATTTTGGGTGTGTACCTCTGATCCTTCTGTTGGAATGAGCATGCACTTCCATCCTGTCTGTCAGCACACTGGAAGAGTGTTCTCATTCATTTTTTTATTATTATTATCTTTTGTAAAGGGCGACGGCCTTCAGAAATTCAGAGTTATTTATCATCTGAGTTCAGTGGATTCAAACTGTCTGTATTTCAACTGTTCATGGGTGTACCAGAGGCCAAGTCCCACTAGCAGGTGTGTGGTTTTGTTTTGGATCGTGCGTACAGCCAGGCCATCAAAAAGCAAAAAAGCCAGCTTTTATCTGCAGCCGTTAGATTCATGGGCTGTCCGAAAAGATCTGCTATATCAAGTCAATTGTTTAGGGAGAGAGAACAGGTAAAGAGAGACGTGATACTTGTATCTGACAACTGACAGACTAAACACAGATTTCTTCAGAGATAGTGTCAACAAAAGGAAGAAAACGAGGAGGTCGTCATTTCTAGCGCACTGCCCCCTAGGCTAGAACGAGGACCCTGGGCGTTTGGTCAGGAAAAGGATTGTGTGGACATTGCCAGTGTTAAGACTCAAGAGACTATTCTTTTTTTTTTTTTTTTTAACATTTTATGATGATTTTAATGATTTTATCTAGGCTACCAGCTGGGCCGCCCGGGTCACCCTATTTTCCTGGGCGGCCCGGCCGTGCAAGGAGCAAAGAAGACCCTAGCAAAAAAAAAACAAAAAAAAAATCTCGGAAAAATCCCAAAAAAAACTATGTTAAAAAGGCCTTTACGAATTAGAAGTTAGAATCCAGATGAGTGCCCAACAGTGAGGGGCCCTGTCGGCCAGAACTTAAATTCACTAGCTGCAACCCAAAAGACAAAGTTCCTGAGGCAAATGTCGCATCCATAATGAAATGAAAAGTCGTTTTGAACAGTCACAAACAGGTCCTGCACGAACAGGTATTGGACACAGTTTTCTAGACTGAGTTAGGGTCATGTCTCCTCGATGGAAAGTCATGTCTGTTCGGCAATGAGTCAACGGCTACAGTCCCAGTCCAGTCATAATCCCACGAGTTAGTCCTGATTCAGACCAGGAGTCCAAAAGACAGGCCCGATGGCCGAAAGCAGCAGCAGACCATGGGAAAAGATACTGGGACATACACTTTTGCAACAACGGGTACTGGGCAGGAGTCCCAGGCACACTTGAGGCTGAACGCAGGCCATGCCAGACCAGTCCGGCACTATAAAGGACTGGCCAGCCTCCCATTTGGACAGATGCTCACTTCGCATGAGAGTGTGGAAGTGCTGTGGCACTTGTGCACTAGATATGTGTGAGCTGCGCTAGGCTGAGAGCAGCGCTACGCGTAAAAGAAGGAAGAAGAGTGCTGGCTAGAGGGAAGACAGCCATAGCTGCGCCAGCACTAGTTAGTATGTTAGTAGGGATAGTCAGTAGGAGACACCAGTGAGTAGTATTCAGAGTAGATCCTCGTGTGATAGGGAGTGTGCATGCATGATGAGTATGAATAGACCAGGACTATAGACATAGAGGGAGAGAGAGAAGAAAGCAGACAAGAGAGGGGGAGGAGTGAGCTATGGTTTCACTTACCTGTTGAGCGCTGTTGTTGACGTTTGGCAGCTGGTGCTGATGAGCGCCAGGCCTGGAATTCATGTTGATTGAAGAAGACTTGTAACTCCATTCGGCGCTGAATATTTTGGACTCACGATGTTCCCTCTTTAATCTGGTTTGAGTTGAGCTTCCTGGTTCTCATTCATCTTTTATTGGGCTTTGTGTGAGACATGGCAATCTGTGAAATCTGTGTAAATGCATGTGATCTGAAGCACTCCAGCAAGTGTTGAACAGTCGGGTTCCTTGCGATGTTATGCAGAAAAATAAACTGAACAACTTTTGCCTCATGATCATATCGAATATCTTTACCAAATTTAATTAAAAATATATATATATCCCTCTCTGTCTACGGTTTACCGGGCAGTTCTATTTGACGATATATATTTGACGATATATATATATATATCCCTCTCTGCCTACGGTTTACCGGGCAGTTCTATTTGACGATATATATAGACCTTTCTTTGTTTCGTGGGTGTTTTGCTGGCTTGTGATGGGGTGTGAACCGACAGTCGGTAGAGTTTTCCATCTGGTGTGGGTGAG